TTATCAAATGAACATAGACGTAACAAATTGGTGTCAGAAGTGGGATGGAAAAGAAAAAGATGGAAACGAGAAGTGGCAAATCAAACTACAGCTTAGCAGATTTGATGGCAGCAATAGAACAGCAAAAGAAACAAGATGAACGAGAAAAGAAACAAGAAGAGAGATCACAGCAGTTGTTGGGGAAAAAAGAAAAGAAACAAGAAGAGAGATTACAGCAGTTGTTGGAGGAAAAGAAAATAAACAAGACGAACGAGAAAAGAAACAAGAAGAGAGACAACAGCAGTGACAAGAAAACCTGCAACAGTGGCAGCTCGAACAGCAAAATAAACAAGAGAGACTACAGCAGTGGTTGGAGGAGAAAGAAAATAAACAAGAATAAACTCTACAACAGTTAAGAGAAAGCCAGCATACACAAATGGAAAAGATTAGTAAATTTCAAAGTGAATTAAATACATTAAAGGATGATTTACTAATTTTACACAAAGAGGATATATTAGCCATGGACCTAATCAGCTCCAGACAACAGGAAGCCCCTTCCAGACCCCGCAGCTAAACCCTAATGCAGACATCTTCAGTCCTGCCAGAAGTCACATTCCAGACATGAGTGTCAGCAGTAGGGGTGATCTAGTACGAAGGAAGCCAGAGGAATTCGATGGGAAGGCACCGTGGGAAGCATATAGAGCACAATTTGAGCTCCAAGCAGAAATGAATGGATGGACAGAGGAGCAGAAAGCAGTGTACCTGGCAACGAGCCTGAAGGGACAACCACAGGAAATACTTGAACAGTTGTCAGCAGACGACAGACACAACTATAGAGCACTGGTAGCTGCTCTAGAACTCAGGTATGGAACTCAACATCAGTCAAAAGTCTACAGGGCTAGGTTTAGGACTAGAGTCCGTGCTAACGGGGAGAGCCTGCAAGATATCTATCGGTTACGTCCCACCTATGGTGTAATCAGAATGGCCAATCACGTGGATAGCGCCTGCCGTTGTGAGTAAATATGAGATTTCTTGCATGCTAATGAATTTTGCATTTAGTCAGAATGGTCTGAAAATAATTTAAATAGTGTAGTCTAAAACTTTGTTTAATATTGGTAAAGAGTTTCAGTTTGAATGGTTGAAGTAGAGAAGATCTAATAACACTCCTCTCCCAGGTTAACTATAACAACAAGCTCGCACACTGTGTTTGTGTTTCATTGATGTAATAAACATTTTCCATTTTGTTTCATGGTCTGGTGGTTAAAGAACTCGATTCGCAATCTGAAACATTCTCGTCCTTTCAGCCGTGGGGACATTATAATGTAACAGTCAATCCCATTCTTCATAGATAAGGAGTAACACAAGAATTGATAATGGCTAATGCTGACTGACTGCGTGACTTCCCTCAAGCTTATCACTTCTAAATTAAAGACAACTAGTGCAGATAGGCATTGAGTGGTTACGCAAAATTCAACAAAACAAACAAACAGGCAATTTCTTTTACACTTCTTGTCCGGTTTCATAATTTCATTTAATTTTGATACATTCAGTAAGGAATTTAGTACTTCTCTGTAATTATATTATTGTAAGCTATGTTTCAAATGTTTTGATATAAATGCTAATTAGTGGACATTAAAGTCGAGTAAGTACATAAAAATAGCCCTACAAATTACAATACCTAGAGTATTCATGATCGAGAGATTTTTTAATAAATAGAACAAGGATGCATTATAAATACGAAAATCAGTGAAATGTTGAGTCAGTTTCAATTAGTAGAGTCAAATGAAATATTCAGGTCAGTGTTAATTATTGCACACATTCACTTACTAGGTAGATTATCCGTGAAGTTGTAGAAGTATATTTATTTGTACGTTAATCGTGGTACTATTAGCCAGTAAATTTCAGTTGAAAGTAAAAACTTTATTAGTGAACTTAGGCCTATACAACTGTGTATAAGTGATAGTAGCCTAGCCTATAACAAAAATTAAGAAGAAATAAACGAACTTATCTTTACATGTACTGGACTTCATATTATTTTCACTAAATAGTTTGAAATAACAAAATTACAATAAAACTGAGATTATTTTGATGAAAACAAAACATAGCTTGGCCAATTAAACTGTAGTGGTAACCAAATCCAGAAACAAGGCTTAAGGTTTGCTAGATATAATGAACCAATTAAAAGACCAAAAAGAGAGAGAAAGAAAATTTAAAAGGGACATAAGATTAAAACAAAATTAAGAACAAAAATAACTGGGGACCTATTGTTCCATCTCGGCTGTCCCATCCTCTAAACGAAATTAAAACTATCAAATCAATAAGTTGAAAGAAAATAAATAAATAAAATAAAAATATTAAAGCTAGCCCTTATTATTCGTATAGTTATCAAACTTTCTCTT